CCCGCTGCCCCGGGCGCCCTGCTGGAGCCGCGCGCGCTCAGGGACGGCTCCCGTGACGCTGGCGTCCCGCAGCCCGCCTGTCCCGCGGGTTAGTGTCGCGGGTGAGCGCCCACCTCCCGCCTCAGGGCCAGCTGGGACCCCGCTGGGACCCCATCCCTGCAACGTCACTGCGCTCTGGTGCCCAGCGCCCCCACACTGCCACTTTTCCTACCCAGAAACGGCTTCACGTTTTAAACCGTGTTCCAGTACGCAGATCCCACCCTCAGTACTGTGTGTGAACCCTCTTTGAAATAAAACACGTCCTAGGTCACTTCAAAGTACACTCTTTACCAAAGAGCCCGGGAGCTTTTTTATTCCTGATACCAGTGCCCCACTCACATAAAACTAAGAATGACTCAGGCCATGCCCTAAGCATTTCAGTTTGCCTTTTCTGTTTTTGTTTTGGTCTTTTTGAGACAGGGTTTCACTACACAGTTTAAGCTGGCCTTGAACTCACTTTATAGTAGTCCAGGCTGGCCTCGAACTCGCAGCCACCCTCGTGCCTCAGCCTCCCGAGTGCTGGGATTACAGGCATGCGCCACCACGCCCGGCCTCACATTTTTAGTTTTGAAACAAAACACCTTACATCACTGCTAGCTTACGCTATTTCATACAAATGTTACTTTCAGGCCACTTTAGTACTGAAGAGACAGATCTACTCTGACTAAAAAAATGAACTAAAAATGCTACTGGGGTTTCCTCTGATGAACCAGAAGAATCAGTTAAGGAACTCTGACTTGAGAGAAGACTAGAGAGAGGGGCTGGGGATTTAGCTCAGTGGCAAAAGTGTGTGCCTGGCAAGCGCAAGGTCGTGAGTTCGATTCCTGGTACTGGAAGAAAAACAAAAACAACAACAAAAAAGACGACTATGAGAGATACTTTGGTTCACCTCGCACAGATTTAAAAGTTCTAATCCCAGGGGGCCCACGTCCTTTAACCTCACAGCCTAAGTCACCACCCAGTGCGTGTAACCCTGGGAAGCCTGCCCAGCGGCTTCGGTAACTCCAGTGCTGCTGTGACATACAGTGAGCAGGGGCAGGAAACACAGAAGACGACAGAAGCAGCCGCCCAAGATGGCGCGACAATCACTCCCAGCTTCGAGAAGTCCGACGGCTGATCCCGCGGATGCCCGCAGGCCTACGGCCCTGCTGAGGACGGCTCACCTGAGCGGGGTCTCCGTAGTCGCAGGCCTTGAGCACCACGAGGCCTCCCTTCTGGCTCGGGCGGCCCTGGGCCACCAGACATTTGTTGGTCTGAAAGTGATAGAGCTGTAAAAGAGGGAGCTCTTGAGCACTCTGCACACGAAGGCGGCTGAGGTCGGAAGTACGAGTGCGGGCAGCTCGCGAAGCAACGCGCACGCTCTGCTCCACCGGCTCGCGGTTCCGACCGTGCGCGCAGGGTCGGGCAGAAACTCGAGCGAAAACCACCAAGTCACTGCTATAACGTAAGGGGTGAAGGAAAGGGTCATCCCACCCCAAGAACCTCAAATAAAATCAAGGAAATGAGAGCGAAAGGTACAAACTGCGGCAGGTGACTGGATGCCACCTCCCTGCCGATCCGATCCGATCACGGGGGAGCACCGGAGGGCGAGCGCCGGACGCGCATCACATGCTCGTGCAAGCGGCCACCGGTAGAGGGTCGTGCGCAAAGGCATTAAACTTTCTGAGCAACTCTATCCAAGGAGCGGGCCCCACAGAGCGGGCAGTCAAATCTAGAAACTTCCTCACACCTCGAAGGCACGCACTACAGCTCAGCGCCACCCCCAGCGCGGGACTCCGTCAGGGCTGCTGCTCACCCGCCCGCGCTGCAGGACCCGGGGGCGCTTGGGCCCTCTGTGCACGAAGGCCGGCTGCTGGGCTCTGGCGTTGGGGCCCCGGACCTGCATTTCCGGGTACACGTTGTCCAGGTACCATCTGAACGACTGGCAGCCCAGCTTCTTCCTCAGCTCCACGCGCTCGCTGATGTTCCCGTAGCTTCTGGTCTTGAGGTCGGGTCTTAGGGAGAAGTACTGTTCCTGAGTTTCAGAAGGGTATGAATGAGTGAGCAGGCAATCGAGCTTGAGGCTTAAAGGACATTCTAACATTTTCTTGGTGATGCAGAAAGCACCAGTGGAAAATGTTCACACAAGTGTGTGACGTGTGGAATTCTGCAGTACATCCCGTTTCAGAAAGAGCGAACTGTGTAAAACCGCGTATCTCAGAGCCCGTGGGACAGGCTGCGCCTGAGACGCGGGCTCCCGGAGCTCTTCAGAGCGCATCATATATCCTTAAAAATCACGGCGGGACTGCACAGCACCAGTTAGAACAGAAGCCGCGAAGTACTTGCTCACCGAGAGAGCAGCAGCAAACTCATTTCAAAATAAAAGTTTGTAGCAGTGACATGTGCAAAATGTTTTAGCCCTGGCTGTTACATACATGTGGCCTGGGTTGTTTCGGCTGAACAAATATTTGTAAGTACAACCTCCAGAAACCGTGTAGTTCAAACAGAAGCAGCATTTCAACGGGGCTTCTCATTTTACACCAAATCGTTTTTAAAGTGTAATCATAATGGAATAAGAAATATCATTGGTATTTTCATCCTTTTGCATTAAAATCTGTCCTAGCTTGTGTTTTGAATGGATCTTTACCTAGCATGCAAGACTTTTATAACAATCATTTGGAAAAAAACTGGCCTGGGGGGGTGATAAAAAGGGTGAAGACGATACGTGCCTGTAGAACTTACTCATTAGGTAAAAAATAATGTCAAAATACACTCACACCTGTAAAAATACAAAAAAAACGTAAAAAGGAAAATACTGGCCCACTTACTCACAGGGTTCTAAGTACCGACAAATCTCACCCTCCAGAATTTAAATTACACTGTAAACATCACTGGTCTCTCATTACGAGGTCCATGGCGCCCCAGGGGGCGAATGATTTTCTTCCGGGGGTGAATTTCGCCAGGTGCAGTTCCACGAGCAGGTGTTTCCGCCCCTTGCTCTGCCTCTGACTAGAGCGCCTGCGGCCGCCCGCCGCTGAAGTCCCTGAGGGGAGCCGCTCGCCCCGGGCTGGGCGCGGCCTGAGCAGGGCTGACCGCTTCACCCTGGCACGCGTGAGCAGGACTAGCTTTTCCTTTCTGCTCCTGAGGTGTGTCCCGCAGGGCGCAGCACCCTCCGGGGATGAGAGCCGGTGCCAGCCCGCGTGGAGCGCTTCTGACCCAGCAGCCAAGGTGCGGGCGCTGCTGGCCCGCCAAGAGCTGGGGTGTGGGGGACAGCGTGCGCCCCGATGCTTCCTTCACGCCCCAGCGTTCGGAACCACTGCGCGACCCCTGTTCGTCCTTGACCCCACACCCCAGCGTAGCCACGGCAGCGCCGGCCGCCCACCTTGTACTCGTCCAGCCAGACGTGCGCCAGCCGCAGCGAGTTGTGCGTCATGGTGTCCTGGCCCTCGGGAGAGCCGTAGGGCCGCCGCTTGCGGAAGATGTGTCCGACCCGGGAGCACGGGATGATGAACAGCCGGCCGCCGCACATCCAGATCTGGCCAAAAGCAGAGACGCGTTAGCTGCCGCCTCCCACTGCGGTGCGGGCGGGCCTCAATTTTCATGCGATTAATCGTGAACGCGTGTTCACGCGCTCTGCGAGGTTTTAAGATGCTAGACAGAGCTCAACAGGAGAAGCTCCGGGGCGACATTTTACACGCTCCGCCTTTCTGAGGGGAACTGAGCTCTGTGAGAGGGTTTTATTCGCTGCCGCATGTGAAATTGTGTTCCCATTCCTGCTGCCCTCGCGGGTCGCGGGGCTTGATCGGAGGGGGCTCCACTCTTCTCATTTCAGTGTTTCAGGTACTTCCTTATAAAAACATACATACTTACTTTGAAAAGCAATTTTTCACAACAAAATGCACAGACTGGATTGAAACTCAAAAGGCCTTCGTTCTGGTCTAAACCGTGCCCGTGCTCATGGCATTACGTTAGGGGACTGTCCATCTGGTGGGCTCCGTTACCTCATCTTTGACAGAGACAGCAGCTGGATCCCTCTCAACCTTAAAGTTCTTATGGGAAAGAATTATGGAAAAATTATGGAAGAATTGTGGAAAAAAGATTATGGAAAAATACTGGCTTTTACCAGCAGGGAGGCAGGAGCAGCGTGGAACCGAGTGAGGGCGTGCGCGTGGGCGATGGCACGCCCTGCCACCGCTCCTCAGGGCCCCGCCCCCCTGTCATGTCCTACACCCGCTGTTCATTACGATCCATCCGAGGGTTACAGAGCAACTGTTCGCGTGTGCTTCTAAACAGGCAACGCCCCATCACGTCACGGTAAAGCAGCATTCACCAAGGGCATGTGTCAGTAAGAGAAAAGGACTCGCAGACAAGAGCCACCATGGATGACACTTACATCTCACTACGCGCAAAATAAACGAACACACAGAATTACCCGAAATGATATTTCCAGGTTTTCTCCTCCCCAGATATCCATGCCGCTGTCGTACTGACCGAGCTCACTGAAATACTGTCTGTTCATGGCAAACAGCCCTCCGGCCATCGTTGGGGACCTGGAAAGGACAGGAATGCCTGTTTCAGCCATTCCTTGTTTGAAAAATTCAGCTAACTGGAACACACAAAATAGGTTATAATGAAACAGTTCCCTGGATACCAGGGGGTGGATTGAGCCCCACAACTGAGGTATCTCGATTGCTGGTGAGAGAAGAGTAACCTGCACATCCAGGTAAGTATCAGAAGTACTTCCGCACGCCGGCCACGCTGCCAGAACCCACCTGAAGGGGACCCTGCCCTTCCACCCGCACAGCCTTCCGATAAAGCCGGCACGCCGGGGTCAGCCCCCCACGCGCTGGGTCGTACCCAGCGTGCGAGCAGTGGCCCTCAGCAGGCTGGCTTTGACCCCTCGCACACGTTTTCTAACGTCTGGAGCGTGTTCTCAGCTGCCACGACCTGGCATGTGCTGGGGGGTGCTGTGGCCCAGGACGGTGCCAGCTGAACGCACACAAGAGCGGCCCAACACATCAGCAGCGCTGAGGCCGCTGTGAGCCTGGGGGCTGGGGTGCAGCAGGCTGAAGCAGGCAGGACCAACCGGAACCCAGGCCCGGCTTCCACAGGTCCTCGTCTGCACGGGACCGAGGGCCGGCGATTTTAGCGGTCCAAACTGCCCGAGCAAGAGAAGTGCAACCCCCAGCGAGGGCTGTGTCCTGTCTGCCTTACGCAAAAGTGGAAGAGTGAACAAATGGCCAGGCACCCAGAAAGTTCAAAGAAAAAAGAAACAATCGCTCAGTGTTTTTTTTTTTTAAGGATGAAAAACAAGATTGAGAGTTTGGCAGAGAAGTAGGTATAATCAAAAAGAGAGTATGTTTATACTTGCCTGAAAAACATTTCCTAAAAATAAAAAAAGTCAAGGCGTCAGTGCAAAAGATTATCTTCAAAGGAAGCGAAAGTAAACCATGCCAACTTCGCATCTGAGACAAGAAACCGGCGATTCCTGAGCGACACCTTTAAAGTGCTGAAAAATTCCAGCCGGCTGACGTCTGGACAGTGAGCTGCGTCTTTTTTAATGGCGAAGGCGGGCATGGCGGTGCCCCCTGCGCTCCCGGCTCTTGGGAGGATCATGAACTCCCACCAACCTGGCCTTTGCAGTCAGACCCTGCCGATTGTCAATGAGACAACCATGGCGGAGCGACGGAGGGGCGGTCAGAGGGGAGAATTACAGGACGTCACCGAGCAGCGTCCTCAGCAGCATGAGCAGCCCCAGGCAGAAGCCTGCGGTGACACACGGGAATGACGGGAGGTGTGCGCACCACAGGAGCCCGGGGCATGGGAAAGGCCTGTGGAAAGGCCTGTGGCAGCCCCTCGGCCACTCCACAGATCAGGGTGCCAGCTGCGCCCTCGTGACCGGGGCAGGGGAGGCGGCCCCTCTAGTGATGGGGCCCAGTGGGAACAGAATGGCATCTGGACTTGGCCCAAAGGCAAGAAGAGGGACACGGACAAGGGCAAAGAAAGCGAGCAGTACTACCGTAATCTCAAGAAAGAGGTTTTCACGCTGGTGCCAGAATGTAAAATCCACTGCCCGTCGCTGCCATGGGGCAGAGCTAAGCAAACCCAGAGCCTGGCGGCTAGAGGAGAGGAACGTGGCCAGCACAGCAACTGACCACGGTGCGAGGACCACGCTGTGCATCTCATCGGGGGCAGCAGCCCCCCACCGGGGCTGCCCGGGAAGGAAGAGCAGGAACCCCTGGTGGGAAAAGGTAGAAGACTGCCAGGTCTCACCCTGAAGTCTTTATGGCATGATCTGTTACTGATTATAAGTTTGATTAAAAATATTTAAAACACAGCAATAAAAACCTACCCATGAAGATGATGATGCAACGGGCAGAAAGACAATCTGGCAACCGAAGGTTAAGGACGGGATATGAATGGCAAAGCCTGAGGTGCCTGCTTTTTTTTTTTTTTTTTT